CTCATTTAATGAAGGAGGTATTAATAATCCTACGCAGGAGAAAACTGAGGCCACAGAAGTGACTTAACTTCTCCTAACCCCCTACTTAGCAAATGGCAGAGCTGGAACTCAGACTTCAGTGTCCCTGAGGCCTTATTCTCCAGGCTGTGCCATCTCCGAGTTCAATGGACTTCTCACATGGGAAAGAGAAGACCACTACTGCTGTCAGGTAAATAAAAAGGACATCTATTCCATTAATGGAACTTCTGTGCCAAAATGCGTTTTCTATGATGTCCTGTGTCAGTACTGGAAGCAGTCTGAACTCCTTGGAAGAGAGTTCATATTTATGGTAGTTATGACAGCAATTGCTGTAATAAGATAAGAATGAGCGGTTTTATCTCATAATTATTTGACAATTGTCATTTCAGGGGTGGCATGGCTATTGTCATCCCCAAATAAAGATAATTCTGAAATGCATTAGGTGATTTGGAAAAGATAAGATCTCATCTTCATTTTTCCTCTATGGCAAGTGTGATGCTATTACCCATGATCTCTTAATGATTCAGTGTAGCACAGAGAAATCCCTCTCAAGCCTGTCTATACTTCCAGAGCCAAGCTCCAAGCAGAAATGATTAAAGCAAGTTTCTTTTAATTAAACTTGTCGAATAATCCTAAACAGCCTTTTAGTTTCTATGTACTTTGAAGCAACTGTGTTCCAGGAATGGGTCTAATAGGTATTTCTCTGAAGGACAAGTTTTCTGCTGGCATCAGGAAGTAGCTCAGAGTCAGAACACAGGCCATGTGGGCAGAGACCAAGAGACTTCCATCAACAGCCATGGCACTGTGCAATTTACAAGATCTTATCCCTTCTCGGAAAAATACACCCAAGCTTAAAGAACTTAAGGGGTCCTTTGCCAAGTCCAGTTGGAGAAATATACAGGCAGAACTATGGCCAAGGGAGCTTTGAGTATCTGCCACTCATCTGCCCAAGTGAACTAGACGTCCAGGGCTCACTGCTCCAACCCAGAAAAGAAGGCCAATAGGCAGAGGCAATAGTGTCCGCTGATTTAGGAGAGCATGGTCTTTGGAGACAAACAGCTCACATTTAAATCCTGGCTTTTGCTCTTTCTAGCTGTGTGACCTTGGCCAAATTACTTAATCTTTCTGTGCCATAGATTTCCCATCTGCTGATGATAATGAACAGCTTCCTTCAGAAAGCTGTTATGAGGATTAAATAGCTTACGTCTGAATAGTGCTTATCACACTGCTAGGGCTTGAATGGAAAAGATGTGTATTTTTGCTCCCAAAGGAAAAGAGAAGGAAGTTTCATTTACTTTACTTAACAGACATATTTATTAGGATTCATATACAATAATGGGAAATGCTTTTATAAAGATAATAATTTTTGACATTTGGTTACCATGGCTTTGATAATAAAGCTTCCAAATAGAAGACCCCTCTTTTTAAGGAATAGATAGGAAAGGACATGGTCTATTTATCTTATAGTAATGCTATGAGCAGCTAAGACTTCCAGTGAG